GACCTCACCGCACCGGACGGGGTAGACAGGCCTCCAGCATACACCACTCCATATGTGGCAGCCCATACTCCGCGGCGCACCCGGAAGGGGACAATTTATGGTTTAAATGCAACCCCGCAAGCACCGATGGTGGAAGTGGCGGCAGGAGATGGGAACACTCAGCTGATTTACAGACCATGGACGTTCAGCGATATGAAGGAGTCGAGCACTTCATTTCTCCTACAAGTGTTAAGTGGGGGAGAGCGATATGCAGTGCAACTGGATATTTTTTGCCAGCAGTTCAAACCTACCAGCACTGAATTACAGAGGCTTCTGATGACTCAGATGGGTTCTCAGTACTCGAAGGTGACAAGAATTTTCCCTGCACAGGAGCGGAGAATGGTTAATCCAGTATGGGGCCATGCCGATAATGTGGAGTATAGGCAATTCATAACAGAACTGTGCAATGAGATAAGAGCAGTTTTTCCCGCAAGAATGGATATGGGGAAAATATCTGCATGTAAACAAGGTGAAGATGAGAATGTGGCTGAATATCTTCACAGACTCTCAGAGGTCCACACTGCAAATAGTGGACTTGAAAAACCAAATGCTATGGGGGGACAGAATCCTATCACCCCATGGGAAGCTCATTTGAGAGATCGCTTCATCCATGGCATGAGGCCAGAAATCAGTGAGATGGTGCAAGCAAGCTGCATTGCTTGGGAGTCTGCAAATCTTGGGACCGTTGAAGTGCATGCCATTCATGCAGAAAAACTTTTAAACAACAAGAAGAAGAGAAATACGATGCAGTTTACAGAGAAACTGCAAATGGCACAGCTGGCGGCATATCAAAGCCAAATCCGCGGGCGGGGGAGAGGTCGTGGACGGAGAGGAAGGGGACGTGGAGGAACTGACGTCTGTTTTAGATGTGGCAAAATTGGACATTGGATCAGGGATTGCCCTGAAAACCGATACACACAGTGCGATTGACTAGATGTGGAGCTGGGTACAGTGAAGGATTCATCTGGTGCGGGCGCGGAGACGGAGAGAAAGTGTCAACCTACTCATCAAATTCGTAAGAACACGGACACACACACATGTGAACGACTGTTAGAAACAGAGCAGATGATAAAGAATGCTATTAATCACTGTGAGCTTAGTCAAAAGATCTGTAAAAGGAGGCTCACTGGGCTCTATGCTAAATATTCACATGATGCATATAAACAAATGCCAAAACACACAATTACAGTAAGTGGTAAAGACATCACATTTTTGGTAGATTCAGGGGCCACAGAATCAGTCATTAAATGTGAAGAGTTTGTAATTACTCCTAAAATGAGTGCTAGATATCTCAAAACGATTGGAGCAACAGGTACAACAGTGATAGAGAGATACACTGTACCATTGTTTTGTCAAGATGAGGTTGAAGGGAATTTTAAACATTCATTTTTGTTGTCACCACGCTGCCCAATAAATCTTATGGGCAGAGACTTGATGTGTTCATTGGGTATTATGTTAATTTCAACATCACAAGGTGTCGAAGTAACTAGAGTCCCAAGAACATTAGCATTTGTTAAGTATGCTAAGGAGGATTTAGTATATGCATATCAATGGAGAATTCCAAACTCTGCCCTCACGTCTGTAAACAGCATCCTCCTGAAGGAGGCAGAATCCCTCACTACAGATGTGCTCACTGATATTATGGCACCACAGAACTTATATTGCATGGCACACATTTCAGTGGGGGTAGATAAATTGTTTGAGAAGGAATGGTATAGAGAAGGTCAGGGTAAAGATAAACTTAGGTTAGAGTGGTTGTATTGGAATAGTAATCACTGTGTTGTCTCAGTAGCTCTAACTGACTCATTGGACCAAGATTTGTTCAGAGTATTAAATTCGGATCCCCATGTTCCACTAATTAAACCCAAACAAAAGGGGTGGAAAGTTTTGGAATACTGGACCAAAAGGTGAATGCGGCTACAGGATGGGAAAAGACATCAGATCCCAATATTGATTTTCACAGAGGGTTAAAGGTGAATCGCAAAAGATTTTCTGCAGTGGTAAATGCAGTTAGGAGTGTTGAACTCATTCCTGATTTAGATTTTATCAATGTCAGTGATACACCGGCAATAGGGGTATCTTGTGAAACAATTGATGAAGGGTTCAGTTTGGTGGTAAACATCAGTAGTATTCCTGAACTGAAAGAAGTACCATCATGTTTGTGGGCTGAGCATAAGTATGATGTGGGTCTGATCAGAGGAGCAGACCCAGTAGTAATAATACCCAAATCTTCTCATAGACCATGTCAGAATCAATACCCATTGAAAAAGGAAGCAGTGGAAGGTATTAAACCAGTTTTTGAATCCCTTTTAAAATCTGGAGTAATAATTCCATGTGAAAAATCTCCTGTTCGTACACCAATTTTTCCGGTGAGAAAAATGAAAGGAGCTGGACAACCACAGGAATGGAGATTTGTTCAGGACTTACAAGCAGTAAATGCTGCAGTCCAGGCTCGTGCACCAAATGTTCCAAACCCTCACACTATTCTTTCACAAGTTCCATCTGGGAGTAAGTGGTTTTCTGTGGTCGACTTGTCAAATGCTTTCTTCAGTATTCCTGTTCACCCCGACAGTCAGTACTGGTTTGCATTTTCTTTTGAGGGGAAAATGTACACATTTACACACCTCTGTCAGGGGTATTGTGAGTCACCTACAATTTTTAATTCAGCGTTAAGGGACAATCTTGAATCACTGGAACTACCAGCAGGCAGTGCTCTTTTGCAGTATGTAGATGATTTGATGATATGTTCCCCTGAAAGGGAACTGTGTGTTCAGGACACAGTTGCTTTGCTTCAACATTTAGCGGCAAATGGTCACAAGGCTAGTTTGACTAAACTACAGTTTGTGTCTGAAAAAGTTACTTTTTTGGGTCATATAATCACTTCAGAGGGAAAAACCCTCTCACCTAAGTGAATAGAAGCCATTCAAAGTATTCCAAAGCCGGAAAATAAGAAGCAGGTAATGAGTTTTTTGGGAATGACTTCATACTGTCGGCAGTGGATTCCACACTATGCAGAAATTGAGGCACCATTAGCAGCAATTGTTTATGGGAAAGGCCTTACTGCAAATGACAGGGTCACGTGGACAACTGAAGCTGAAAAAGCTTTTGTTGACTTGAAATTGGCTATGCAATCTCCCCCGACATTAGGGTTACCTGACTGTACCAGGCCTTTCACACAGACAGTGGATGAAAGGAGGGGATACATGACATCAGTGCTGACTCAGGACCATGGGGGACGACAGAGACCAGTTGCCTATTTTTCCTCGCGACTTGATTCAGTGGCAGCAGGACTTCTAACCTGTCTCAGAGCTGTGGCAGCTGCTGAGAAGGCTGTGATTGCATCACGTGATGTTGTGGGTTATGCTGACTTGACTTTGCTGGTGCCACATGCGGTTTCAATGATTTTGCTTGAACAAAGGACCTCTCACCTTTCTACAGCTAGGTGGCTGAGATACAATACAGTGTTACTTGAAATGCCAAATATCACTGTTAAAAGATGCACTGTTCTTAACCCTGCTACTCTCCTCCCTATACCAGGAGATGGGGAGCCACATGATTGTGTTGCAGTGATAACTGAAGTTTGTTCTCCCAGACCAGATTTACAGGATATACCGCCGATGAATGCAGATATGGAGCTGTTTGTAGATGGCTCAGCATCAAGAGATCCAACAACTGGTAGAAATCAAGTGGGTTTTGCGGTTACAACCTTATATGATACTATTATAGCTGAACCACTCCCACCACATTATTCTGCACAGGCTGCAGAATTAGTGGCCTTAACTGAAGCATGCAAATATGCKGGTGACAAGAGTGTCAACATTTACACTGATAGTAGGTATGCATGGGGGGTGGCACATGATTTTGGCAGACTTTGGGCTAATAGGAAGTTTTTAACATCTACAGGAAAACCCATTACCCACCATACCTTAGTTGCTGCTCTTCTTGATGCTGTGTTGTTGCCAAAACTGATTGCCATCTGCAAATGTGGAGCACATTCTAAAGATCTTGATTCAGTCTCACAGGGAAATGCGAGAGCAGATGCTGCTGCAAAGGATGCAGCAAAACGCAGCCTATTTATCCAGGCTGTTTCTTTGCCTGATGGGCCATTAACACCTAATGCTGACTTACAGGACCTGCAGCTGAGGGCCACAAAGGAGGAAAAGACTGCCTGGAAGAGAGCAGGTTGTTCAGTGGTTGATAAAGTTTGGTGTGGTCAAAACGGGAAGCCTTGTTTACCAAGATATCTGTTTCCCCATTATGCTAAGTTGGTACATGGAAGGGACCATGTATCAAAAGGGGGAATGCAAGCAGAGATACAGAGATATTGGTACACAAAAGGATTCTCAAATTACTCACAAAACCTTTGTCAGAATTGTGTGATTTGCGCTACAAATAATATTGGCAGGGGTATTCAGACTCAACAAAGCGCACATCCACCACCAGACAAGCCATTTGATCATCTACAGATGGATTTTATTGAATTAACGCAAAGTGAGGGAAAGAAATATTGTCTTGTTGTTGTTGACATGTTTTCCAAGTGGGTGGAAGCTTTCCCCACATCTAAACAGGACTCGTCAGCAGTGGCGAAGGCACTGCTCGGAGATCTCATTCCACGGTGGGGTATTCCAAGAAAGATATCCAGTGACAATGGTACACCATTTGTAAGCGCAGCATTAAAGAGTGTTGGTGAGTATCTGGGTATCAACATGAGGCAACATTGTGCCTACCATCCCGCCAGCGGAGGGGCAGTGGAAAGAGAAAATGGCACATTGAAAAACAAACTGGTAAAATGTTGTGAAGAAACAGGACTGACCTGGACAAAAGCATTGCCAATTGTTTTAATGTACATGAGGGCTAGAGTGAGAAGTAGGCATGGTTTGAGCCCTTATGAAATTCTTTTTGCACGACCAATGGAGACAGGGGTTGGACCTGTTAAGAGGCTGCTTCCCCAGACTAATCAGTGTGAGGATGAAATGTTGCGTTATTGTGCAAACCTGTCTTCTGTGCTTTCTGAAATCCATAAACAGGTGAAGGACGCACTGCCAAGATCTACAGACAGGAAACTGCATGATCTTAACCCAGGAGACTGGATTGTGGTGAAGGATCTTAGGAGGAAAAACTGGAGAGCACGTCGGTGGAGTGGTCCCTACCAAGTGCTTCTCACCACGGAGACGGCAGTGAAGGTCGCAGAGAGGGCAACCTGGGTACATGCAAGCCATTGCAGGAAAGTTCCTGAGCCAGGAGGGAATTCTTCAAGTTAGGGCGTGCATTAATGTCAGTGAGTGAACCTTCAGCCTTCAACTGCATTGTGTCCGCGAGTAAGGAGGGGGTGAAAATCTCTAGGACCATACGTCTCCAAACTCAAGAAGAGGCGGCACATTGATTAGGGGGTTGGCTAGGGTGACACTGCTGATATATGATGGCGCCGATAGAGAAACAGTGGCATCTGATGGGACGACAAGGATTTGGTTTGAGGAAAGGGGTGTGCTCCCTGTTCTTGCTAACCGTCATCGTTGTTCTTACACTGCTGATATGGTATGTAAAACCTTGTCAGGAGGAACACTATCAAGCTAGCAAGAAGATAGAGGTTAGAACAAAAAGAGAACTCTTGTTTGACCCCCCTGAAGGATTGACACAACCTGAGGATAATGCATGGTATGCAGCTATGTGCATAACTGCAAGGATGATCACCAATGAGAGCTGTTATGCTTGTGCACAACTCCCACATGGTGTAGGCACTGCTCTGCCCCTGAAGACAAACCCACTAAACATCTCAGAGACATTAGGAGTCATGGTTGCTTTCACACAGGGTGTTTCATTTCAAAGTAGGAAAGTGAGGGACATGACTAATAAACTCCAACTACTAAATATCAGTGTAGTTAACTATGGGGGCTCAACATTCAGGTTTCAAAACGTGTCTTTGGTGACAGATCAAGACATTCACCAACCTGTGATGATGATAAATCCTACCAGTCAAGCAGGGATTGTTTGCTTTACTAGACAGTGTTTTACAGTTAACAATTACTTTCTGGGAACATCATTATGCAAGCAGACAGTTACAGCTACCTGTGGGATGGTATGGGATAAAGGGGCAACAGTCACATGCAAATATAATACACCATACTTAGCACCATTAAATTTAACTGACACAATTAGTTTACATCGCCCAGGTGCTGACAACCCAGTTCTTAGGATGCCATCTAGTGATGGGTATGGGTCCCTGAGGGAACATGTGTGGGTGTGTGGGCCATATGTATACCAGTCACTTCGACCAGGATGGTGTGGAACTTGTTATCTTGCTAAACTACTGCCCTCTGTCATCCTGTTACCTAACCTTACTTATTTTCACACAGATTACACTCACTATTATATACCATCAAGACGTAAGCGTTACACAGCGAGAGTGTCTCCACAGGAAAAAGGATTTGGAGGACTCTTCCCATGGTGGGGGACTGTGAACAACGCCCACAGAATAGATGAGATTGCTCTGGAACTGGAAAATTTAACAGCTTTAGTGGGGGCTGGGTTTACATCTCTTTCTCCCAGCATACAGGGCCTCAGAAATGTGGCGCTGCAAAACAGGATGGCTTTGGATATGATACTCGCCAGCCAAGGAGGTGTTTGTCACATAATCGGGACGGATTGCTGCACATACATACCGGACATTTCTGACAATATGACACATATTGTTTCTCATTTGAATGACCTGTTGCTTAAAGAAAAGACCAAGGACACTCGGATTCCTGACGGGTGGACTTGGTGGTCATGGTTAACTGTAAATGGTTGGGAAAATGTGTTGTTGAAGTTTGTATCACCTGTTTTGCTTTCCATTTGTATGATATTGTTGTTGGCCTGTTGTGTTGTCCCTTGTGTTAAAGCTATGATTGCCACCTTAATCAAGACTACGATTGGACAATATGTTCAACTCCCGGATTCTCATCTAGAATGGACTCCCCCATTTCAAGATGATGTGTTTGTGTAGGAATGATTACTGGTTGGTGAGCATG